GCGAAGCAACCGGAGGAGTAGTTGGCGCCGGCTCCGGCTCTGGGCTTCAACATGAAGGACGAGGCAGAGTTCGCGGTCGCCCGAGCGGCCGAGATGGCGGAGCAGCAGGCCATCCTGGAGTCTATCCAGAATGAGGCCTATGTGGAGGCCAACCGGCAGTTCATCCGGCAGGAACAGGTGGCGACCGACGCATTCTTCGACGAGGTCGAAGCGGAGATGGATGCGGAGCCCGACGTGGAGGAGTCGCATGAGCCGGAGTTGCGGCTACCGCCCACCTAGCCGGAGCCGGGCACGGAGATATTGAACAACTTCGACCAGGATTAGGATAGTATAGATTATTTGACCGGACACGTTCACAGACATTTGAAGGGTCAGATTTGCTTTACGCGGTTGTAGATGTTCTTAAATCCTTAAATCCCTAGAGACAGTCCCGGCCAGAAAAGCCTCTTTCCTCTCCTTTCCCCTTCCATCTCTTAATCCACCACCTGTTTGATGAGATCCTCCACACCCGGCACAACGCCTCCTCCAACACGACCTAGAGCTGGGGTCCTAACCTAGCGTCGTCGCCTGAGCTCCGCCAGCGTTGCACGTGTTCTACCCAACGCCTACCTCGTCGTCCAGCACCGCAGTACAGGTGCCCACCTCGCTCAGTGTTGCAGGCTGGCTCCAGTTGCTGTTTCGAACACGACCGGGATCAATGGCGGGGACACAGCCCAGGGAGCAGCTGCAGTGCTTTCGTCCATCCCCAACACCACTGGTTGCTGGGGCGGCAGCACGGGGTAGAAAGCGGTGGACACAATGGAGGTCAGAGGCAACCACCACACCAAGAGGTATCCGTTCCCCTACAAGCTTTCCAGGTTTGAGGTTGGGACATTTCAAGGGTTCATCAATTCATCAACCCCTACAATTTCAGGGGCCTGAATTTTCAAGGAGACTAAGGGCCTGTTCTGAAACACGCTAGCTTCAGCAAAACTTCTCGTATCCAGCTTCTGCTACGACTTCTCGCTTTAGGTGGAGCTACGCAAACCGTTCTGGAGGCGAGGCAACTTCTCCTAGTGCTTGCGTGAGTTGGCAGCCTAGTTGGGGCGTTGAAGCCCACCTTCTTGCCACCTTGGGCCGGCTGGAAGCAGCCCATTTCGGGCTAAACTGCACACAGGCTAATAAAAAGGATATAAACGAGTTGGGCCTGCTTCCTGGGGTGAATGGCTGGCCTTTTTCACACTAGATAATTTGTGTGATTTCTCCAGAGGTGTACAGAGAGGTAGAAGTGTACATAGAGCTGGGCCTGCAGCCGCCATGTATTTTTGAACTGTACATGGCTTATTTTGTAATGTATTTTTTGAACTAAGAGGTGTACAGAGAACTACACACAGCCGGCATGAAGTTTCATTTGCATATAAGTTTGCAAATCAAAATGGTGTCACATCTAAAGACATGAACATGATTACTTCACCAACTAAGATCAATGGCGGTAGGTAGTTCATGTCTAAACAAATCCATGTTAGGACCACTTTCCGCCGGTGTTGAAGACTCCGATGCATTTGGAGGAATAACATACTTCTTGTATCTCAATAACATACTTCTTGTATCTCTCTGGAATAGTTGGGACATAATCTGGATCCCTCTGACACCGAAGAAAGTGGATATCCTCTTTGTCATGGAGGTGGACATAGTTGTGTAGTGTCATGGTAGCCGCAATTATCATCTTTTGTGTTTGAATCGAATAGTTTGGCATCTTGAGCAAGATTTTCCATTTCATCTTCCACACACCAAAGGTTCTCTCTATGGTATTGCGCTTGGAGGAGCGGATACGGTTGAACTTCTCTACAGGAGTAGTTGGGGGTGCACCTCGTTGAAAGTCGGGGACGTGATAGCGTTCACCTTTGTATGGTGCTAGATAGCCATCCCTATTAGGATAGCCGGCGTCTACAAGGTAATACTTGCCTATAGAAATGGACAACAAACATGATTGTGAGTTGAAGGACATGTTATATAAATTGCAACAACAAGAAATACTTACCCTTGGGAGGATGTGGGAATGTGGCCTTGTCATTTTCAATTGCATGAAATAGCACACTTGTATCATGCATAGAACCTGGTTATCCAATTGAAGCATAGGTGGAATGCATATCGAAGTCACATACCGCCATCACATTCTGTGTTGTTGCACCGGTTCTTCCAATGTACCCTTATTTTTGAAGGTCCTTCCGGAATAGAAGCCCTAATATGTGTTCCATCTATTGCACCAATGAAATCTTTGAGATGAGAATAAGCCCTTTTGTCACGCTTAATCCTATCATGGACGATGTGAAAATTTGGGTCTTGAGGCCTAATGTTGTGAGATGACATCTTGACCACACATTGTAGAACCTCATGGAACTTACGGTGAACTGTATCTGCTCCATGTTTGAAACGGTTTTGGGTTCTCCTGTTTGATTCACAACCGCCCAAGGTCCACAAGTACATAGCAAGAGACTCATAAGTGGTAACAAAACATGTTTCTTTGAGGCCATACTCCGCCACCAACTTGTCATGAAGATCAAAGAACACATTTGCATTCATTCTCAACATTGTGTACGTCTCTTCGGGTGTGCCAATAGTCTCTCGCAACCATTCAAAACCACTCAACCTAGATGTCCTAGGGTCGGCCTTCATGACCCAACTTTTGCAATACTTCCCAACTATTGATGACATAGCCGAATAAAGCATGGCCATATCATGTTGATATTGGAGAACCATAACTTTCTTTCTTTCATAATTTGTGTCATCGTCACTTTCACTATCCGATGACATCTGCAAATAAACAACCGTCAACATATGAAACACAAGTTAGAACCAATTGGATCAAGAACATATACATAATACATACATAAATAGCAAACACTAGGTCTAACAACATAAACATAGAGCTGGTTCACAATGCATTCATAAATAGCAAATGGTTCCACAAAATGCATTAGTAAATAGCAAACAATAGGTTAAACAACATAAAAGATGTTTCAACAACATAAAAGATGGTTCAACATAAAAGATGAAATGGTATCAAGCACTAGGTTCAGCATAAAACATGGCCATCACATATAGATGGTAGGCATGTAAACTAGTTCCCATACTTCAAGTCATACTTCCTACGCAACCAACTCTTTCGAGACTCAAGAGGAATGTAAAGAAACATCTCCCTTTGTGCCCTCTTCATAAACAACTCGCTAGCCATGAAGAACTCATCGGTACCTATTGTTGCACCACAAGCAATGACTTCATCCATGACCGAGGTGACACAGTTTGCCTTATCTTGCTTCACGAAAGACTGGAATGATGAGTGAGAAGCCTCAGCAATGTCACCAATTCTTGTAACTTGCTCACACATCACTTGTGCGGTCTTTGGTTTCTTGTTCTTCTCCGGAATGACGATCCCAAGCCTCACTTTAGATGAAGTAGGTGTTGCCTGAGATGTTTGTTCTTCAGTATCATCCAAATCAAGATCTTCGATCTCATCAACATTGATGGCGGCTTTCACCGCCGCACTAGAGGGGGGAGGTATGCCGGAAGAGGGATTCCAATGGTCACCGCCGCACTCTCGAGGTACTGCTATATTTCCGGCATTCACTTGCTCAGCAAACAACTCGCACATAATCTGAGTGTTTTCAACGCTCCATTCAGCAGCCCCAGCCATACTTGAAACTTCTCTAAAAAATGCATGTCACTTTGATAAATACAAAAATTATACTTTTCTACACAGCCAAGGGCATGTAATATCTGAACTAGCAGTACATTTGCACGCATACACCACTAGACTCATGATAATAAATTGCAAACATATAGCAGTACATTTTCTGCATAGCCAAAATTGTATTTCACTTTTCTGAAAATTGTAACACATTACCACTCATGGCAGTACCCACATAGAAATATGCATTAACTTATGCACACATATACTTCAGAGTAGTAGTACATTTTCTGCATACCCAAAACTGTATTTCACTTTTCTGAATGATGCAACAGGTTAGCACTCATGGCAGTACCCTCATAGCAATATGCATTAAAGCTTATGATTCCAGAATTGCACATATATTCCAGATTTGCACAACAAAGAATAGGTTCTACTGTAGGAATTTGCACACAACAAATACAACTCTGAAAATAAACTGCACAGATGTACAGAACAGAGGACATGCGAGGACACCAATCCATAGGGAAGAAGAGAAGGGGACGAGCTCACCTTGCAGTTTATGCTTGGAGGTGCGGTAGTCCTCGTGCCACTCCTGGCTTGGGAGCGTCGCTTGGGCGTCAATGGCGTTGGGGCCGGCTCCTCCGAGCCATGGGGTTGCAGCTCCTTGCACCAGGCGCGACGGACGGCGAAGACGATGGGATCCGGCGGGAAATAGACTGGGGCGGCCGGTTCTGTAGTTGAGTCAACGATTTGGCCGGCGACGGGGGCTGCCGGGCGTGGCGGCGGCGGTAGGGCTACAGAGAAGCGAGGGGAAGGGAGTTGTGTGCGACCAGGTTGACCTGCGGGATCGAGCGAGGGGGTGTTGAGCGAAACGTTTTTCTTGGCGGTGGCAATTCGGCCGTAAATAACAAGCAGCTTCAGATTCACGAAAACAGCTTCAGATTCACGAAAACAGGAAGCTGGGAATCTATCGCTTCGAAAAAATGAACTACAGCCCATCGCAGCTTCCTGAATTTTAGCTTCGTGAAGCTAATCCGTTCGGGCTGGCTTCAGGCAGAAGTTTTTAGAAGTATGGAGTGGGAGGAGATCAGAACAGGCCCTAACTCAGTGTTCACTCGTCATGTAAATATAACAAGTGCAACTTAATTTAAAGCTCAAAATTCAACACTTTTCACTCGTTACCATCTCGAACTAGCAAATATTTAGGTTTGGCATCACAGCTATATTTTTGATTTTTCGAATACATGATCCGAGAAACAACGAGCTCAAGCAAGCCGTCGCAAATTCAATACATGAACAAGAGGGCCAATATGCAAATAAATATGGATCTTCAAGCAGTTTCGGCAACCGGGTACTCGTACACAACATCCTTGCCACAAAGCCTGCGGTACACTGCAGTGAAGGTATCCAACTTGTACTCTGTGTTGTTGCGTTCCTTCGGGTCCAAGAAGATCTGCAACAACACCAGTAAAATAAACAGCGCACCAACAAAAAATTGTTTGGATCAACAGCGTCAATGTTGATCAATTCAGAAGAAATTACAAGAGTGAAATAGAGATGTAAAAGTTCAAGCTAATCAAAAATTGTCTAGACAATAATCAGCTATATCAATGCAGTGGTCAAATCTTACCTTAATGATCTTCGAGCCATCTAGGCGATATCTGACACGTTTCCCCACAATCTCAGCTGGGTACACAACATCCTCCAAAAGACCATCATGAACAGCGGTCAAAGTTCTGGTACGAGGGCGAACAACAGCAGAACCCTTCTTGGGTGGCCTCACAATCCGCCTTGTTGCAACAATAACAACATCCTGCATTGAGTCATAGTCAACCACACATTTCAACAAGCACGGAACAAACGGGACAATGGCTAACATTTGCTTCAGCGTAATTGGGGGGGTTTGGCATTTTGCTAGGCGAAAGACATGAAGAAATTTCTCGAACAGAGTATTATTTGGCAATTGCAGGGAAGTGACATGAATACAATAATTACTCTGCAATAACGTTAGACGAACAACCAAATTCGACTTTAAACCAGTAACATTGAATAAAAAGATGACAAACATTGTAAATGGCACCTGACAAAGAAGGAAATAAGAAAAAACTGCCACAGCATTTGAGTAAATACAACTCTTCCAAACGGAAAACACATGCCCATAAGAGTACAGCATCCTAGTTGTAGTCTAGGAAGCATAATGGTGAACATTCCACACACAGAGGTATCGCATTGTACTTTTAGCAGCAGAGTGTAGTGCAAAACATAACAGGATTCAGGAGGAGCATACAGGCATGCTCTCTGGTAAAGCAGTATACTGCTATAGCTGTAGGGGAATACCATCTTTGTCTACGAAATCTACAACACATAAGCAATCCTTCGGACTAGCGAACTTACTCCAACTTACTCCTATGTGAAATACTGATTACTGTATATCACACTGTTCTCAAAGGAAAGGAATCTAACAAGGTGAATGGCTTTTTCACTAACCTTGCCGCTGAACTTCTTCTCGAGCTCCCTGACAAGCCTGACGTGGATCTTCCTGAAGTTCTTGCGGAGCCTGTACGGCACGTGGATGACTACGGCCTTCCTGTTCCCTGTAACATCCATCTGGCTGCAACACGAGGCAGCACAAACCAGAAACCATCACACCTCGCTACCACTTGGACTGCTACTCAACAGAAACGAAAACCAAGGTTAAGACTGGCTGATGACTTACAAGGCGGCGTTGATGTAGAGGTCTTTAACGTCGCTCTTGAGCTCCTGGCTGCCATTCTCCAGGTCGAAGAATGCCTACAAACACGAAACCGCGGTGGTGAAACACGGAGCGCAGAGACCACGCGCAACAGCAGTGACGTGAGACTAGAGGGCTTCTTAGCTACCTGCGCGACGGAGTCCTCGAACTCGGAGGGCTCGAGGCCCTTGTCCTTCTGGATCTTCTTCCTCGCCGTGTACATGGTGCTTTCGCCCTTTCTTCGCGTGAGGGAGGTCGAGGGGTGGCGGCCACGGAGGTAGGGTTTGGAGGCGGCCGCGAGTAGTGGGATACGATTTTATAGGTCTATAAGGAATCCCAAAATGTTTGTGGGCTGGGCCACGCTCGGTACAGAAGGCCTGTGGCACTGGCCCAATTTTGATCTTTATCAAAAACAAAATGGACTGTGTATGTGCTCATGCGCTGCCGCTGATCCAAATATTATTATTTTTAACACAATATATAGGAGGACCATACGGGGTAAATTATGATGCAAAACAGGTAGAATAAAAAAAATATGTTTTGTTTATAAAGCATAGATATTTCTGTCATTGCTTAAACAGGCAAAATAGGTATGTGCCCATGATTGATTTGCTTTATTGGAATAACAAAGATAAGAGATTAATTGCTAATTATTTATTTTTGAAGGGTGACAAGTGACGGGAAGGCTAATGACGATGTCAGTGTCGCCAGACGAGGACGGCCCAGGAGTAGCGGCAGGCATGTGAATGACCTTAGATATCATCGTGGAAGTTGCTGACATTGAGCGAGTGGTCAAGGAAGCCAGTATGACCACTGGGGAGGATGTAGCTAACGCTTCATCGAGTACACACCCCTTACAGACGGTGGTCAAGCATATTGTGGTTGTTGATGTTGTGGCAACGACGTCACGCGCGGTCGAGGATGGAGGGAGCACAGTGGACACGACGAGCTTGGAAGAAGGCATGCTGATACCAGTGGGTGGCACGAAGTGGAGTTCATCCTTGCGGACCAAGAGAATGGTCGTGTTTTGAGCAAGCACGGAGTTGACGTCGCCTGATGCAGGAGGGGTAAAGGTTGTGGTTGGTGTAGAGATGTTCGTGGTCGTCGCCGCAAACACAGAGGTTGCGACCCAACAGTTGGTGGAGGCGATGTTGCACATAGACGTGCTCGCCAGAGATGAGGACAATGCTGCTAGCGAGGGGACGCGAGCACAAGAGTGTCGGTATGAGGTAGAATTCATTGAAAAAGAAATTGGTGTGGTCTCCTTTATGTTTACCAGCACCATGTACACAACCCACTCTCGGTGTCAATTACTGGATTCGTCAACGCAAACTCCTGCATCACTTTCATCAATGAGTCTCATCCTCCATGGCGATGATATAAGATGTTGGGAGGATAATTCTATTAGGAAAATGGAACATGTATTACTAGGAGGCCAAAGCCACAATATATACATGTACAAGAGAATGCCAAAAGGCTAGAATGTAAAAGGCCAAAGGCCATCATCAATATAACTCTAACACCCCCCCCCTCCCCCTCAAACTCATGGTGGATCCACAACACTGAGTTTGGAGAGGTGAAATCTATGTTGCGCTCTAGTTTGGGCCTTCGTGAAGAAATCCGCTAGTTGTAACTCGGAAGGCACATACTAAAGAGCAACAACATGATCATGCACATCAGTGCGCACATAATAAGCATCAACACCAATATGCTTGGTAAGCTCATGCTTCTCAGGGTCTCGCGCAATACTGATGGCACATGTACTGTCGGATAAGAGAGTGGTGGGTGTAGTAATAGAAACACCAAAATCCTCCAATAACCATCGTAACCAAGTCACCTCTGCCGTCAAAAGAGACATAGCTCTCAACTCGGCCTCTGCACTCGAACGGGAAACTGCAGTCTGTTTCTTCGTCTTCCAGGCAATGAGAAAACCACCAAGAAAAACACAGTAAGCAGAAAGTGAACGGCGATCGCAAGGATCACTAGCCCATGTAGCATCTGAATAGGCCTGGAGCTGTAACGAGCTGGTACGGGGAAAAAGAGACGATGAGAAATCGTGCCACGAAGATATCATAGAACACGAAGAAGGTGACTATAGTGAACTGAAGTGGGAGCGGAAACAAACTGACTCAGAATATGGACAGGATAAGAGATATCTGGACGAGTGACAGCAAGATAGACAAGACTTCCAACAAGATGACGGTAACGCGTCGGATCTGACAAGAGCTCACCATCAGAAGCGCGAAGGTTAACATTGAGCTCCATAGGAGTATCAACAGTGCGCTCATCACTAAGAGTCGCACGAGCAAGAAGATGCCGGATATACTTCTCTTGGGAAATAAAGAAACCATTAGAGGTGGAGGATACCTCAATCCCGAGAAAATAACGAAGAGGACCAAGATTAGACATAAGAAACTGCTCACTGAGACGGGCCTTGACAAAGGCAATGTACTCAGAATCGTCGCCAGTGATGATCATGTCATCAACATATAGAAGAAGAAGAGTGCGACCACGAGCAGAAAGATGGACAAATAGCGCTGGATCATGAGCACTGGGCAAAAAACCAGCTGAAGTGACCACAGAGGCAAAACGCTCAAACCAAGCACGGGGGGCTTGCTTAAGGCCATAGAGAGAGCGACGAAGACGACAAACCATGCCATCGGGAACTGAATACCCAGGTGGTGGCTGCATATAAACTTCCTCACGCAACTCACCATTAAGAAAGGCATTCTTAACATCAAGTTGAGACACGGACCAATGGCGAACAGAGGCCACAACAAGAAGGGTGCGAATAGTGGTCATATGGGCCACAGAAGCAAACATCTCATCGTAATCACGACCATGCTCCTGCTGAAAGCCACGAGCCACAAGACGAGCTTTATAATGCTCAAGAGAACCATCAGAGCGAGTCTTAACATTATATACCCACTTACAACTGATGGGACGAACACGGGGAGGAAGAGAAACTAGATCCCATGTGCTGGTGCGCTCAAGGGCAGCAATCTCCTCTGCCATCGCAAACTGCCATTCAGGATGAACAATGGCATCTCGATAAGAAGTCGGCTCAAGAACGGTCGAAAGACCATAGCGAGAAGGAGAATATCGGTCAGGGGGCGGACAAGGCCGAGAACGAATACCATAAGTCGGCTGAGAGGAGGAAGATGACACACCAAAAGTAGAGGGCACATCAGTAGACTCATCCACAACACGTGGACGACGAGTATAATGGAAAGGAAAAGAGGGAAGAGGTGGAATCACTGGAGGTGGAGACGGGGATTGTATCGGTGATGAAGGTGGAGAAGGGGAAGGTATCGGTGATGAAGGTGGAGAAGTGGAAGGTATCGGTGATGAAGGTGGAGAGTCATGCGACGAGGGAAGAGAAGAATCCATAGGAGAATACAGCGTCAGATCTGCAACAGTGGGACGAGGAGTAGGAATATTAGGCACATAGGGAGGTGTATCAGGAAACGTAAGAAAAGATATGTCCTCCATGGAAAAGGCCGAGGAGGATGGACGTGGGTAGAAGGGACGAGACTCATTAAAGGTCACATCCCGGGAAATACGCATCCGACGACCAACCGGATCCCAACAACGATAACCCTTATGCTCATCACTGTATTCGAGAAAGACGCACTCAACAGACTGAGTAGTCAGTTTGGTGCGTTCATGAGGGGCAAGCAAAACATAGCAAACGCAACCAAACAAACGAAGCACCGAATAATCAAAAGAACGACCAGAAAGACGCTCGAGAGGAATATCACCCTGTAGAGCAGCAGATGGCTGAATGTTGATAACATAGGTGGAAGTAGTAATAGCCTCGGCCCAGAAGTGAGGTGGAAGAGAGGCAGCAATCATCATCGCACGTGCCGTTTCAAGAAGGTGACGATGCTTGCGCTCAGCCACACCATTTTGAGCATGAGCACCAGGGCAAGAGAACTGAGTGAGAGTACCATGCTCAGCAAGGAATCCTCGCAGCGCATGGGAGATATACTCACCGGCTGAATCTGCACGAAAAACACGAATAGGAGTGGAAAACTGGGTATGAACCATGGCAACAAATTTTTTATATATAGATAAGACCTCACTACGAGAAGACATGAAGTAGATCCAAGTGTAGCGAGAAAAATCATCTATAAAGATAATATAGTAGCGATGACCCCATTTTGAAGCGAAAGGAGCCGGACCCCAAACATCAGAGTGAACAAGATCAAAAGGGCGCTCGGACACAGACTCACTATGAGGATAGGGTAGCTGAATCTGCTTACCAAGCCTGCAACCTAAACAATCCAAAGAAGCGTTACCGGAGACAGACCCCAAAACACCACGATGAACCAAAGAGGAGAGACGAGAACCACATAAATGGCCAAGATGATGATGCCACTATTGAAAAGAGCTGGTAGATGCAGCAACAGGGGCTGCGAGACTGGCAGCGGTGGCAACTGAGGGAAGACGAAGCCAGTCAAGCTCCCAGAGACCATCAGAGCGTCGAGGGCTAGCACCAAGCAGAGCGCCCGTGCGACGATCTTGAACAGAACAAGAATCAAAGTCGAGAATGACCCTACAACTAGAGTCAACAATCTGACCACCAGATATGAGTTGCATGGTAAGTCGAGGAACGTGAGCGACAAAGGGAACATGAAATGAAGAAGTACTAAGAGTGCCTCGACTAGCTACAGGGAGGGGAGTGCCATCAGCCGTAAGAACACGAACGGGAGACTCGACAGGTCAAACGGATGTCAAAGTGGATGAATCATAAGTCATATGAAAAGATGCTCCAGTATCAAAAATCCATGGGGATGTACCTGAATATGTGGAAGGTGGTTTCTCAGTGCCAGAAGAGTCAGTCACAGAAACTGCAGAACCTGTCGGTGAAGAATCCCAAGCAGCAAGCAAGCACCTTAGCTGCGCAATCTCATGCGCAGACAAGGACACGGTGGAAGATGTCGAGGTAGAGACACCTGCTGACGATGAGCAATCAACGCCGCCCGTGGAAGTCATGTATAGAGTCGACCGAGAGTAGCGAGTCGACGTAGAGCGGTCACCACCCCGTGTGGAAGCCACGAGAGGAGTCGCTGTAGAGCGGACACCACCGCGCATAGAAGCCGCGAGAGGAGTCGACGTAGAGCGGTCACCACCGCGCGTGGAAGCCTCGAGGCGAGTCGATGTAGAGCGGTAATCACCGCGCGCTAAAGTCGCGAGAGGAGTCGTCGTACAGCGGTCACCGCCGCACGCGGAAGCTGCGAGAGGAGTCGGTGTAGAGCGGTCATCGCCGCGTGCAGAAGCCGCGAGAGGAGTTGGTGTAGAGCGGTCATCTCTGCGCGTGAAAGCCACGAGAGAAGTCGATGTAGAGCAGTCACCGCAATGTGCGGAAGCCGCGAGAGGAGTCGATGTATAGCGACCAACATAGCCTGCTGAAGACGCCGCAGGAGACAATGCCATAGACGGATGTATACCAAGCACCGAGCGACGGCGCATGAGCGAGACAGGATCAATATAGGGAACACCGTTGAAAGTCTGTGGGCAGTGACGGAGATGCAGATCCAACAGAGACATCATAGCAGTATTTTTTTAACAACAGCAGCGGAACTCTGAAGGCAACAGCCGAAAGCCTCCTGGAGTGAACAGCTGAAAGAACACAGGCCTATCAGCCGAGTAGCATGGCGGCCCACCAGCAGCCGAAGCAAGCAGAATAGCACGGCCGTGGATCACGCGAGCCCGACGCAGTCAACGCACACGGGCTGCGGTAGTGTCGCACGAGAACCGGCAGAGATCTTGAGCGGACGCGGACGGCAGCCTGGGCAGGATCCGGTGGCCGGCGGCTGAAACTTGGACGAGAGCCAGCGATCTCCAAGAAGGGCGGCCCACAATCTGGACGCCGACGGTAATCAATAGTGGCCGGTGCGAATCGACTTCTGGCAGCTTGAGCAGAAGAGTTGCTGAAGACGAGATCCGATAGGTGGCGGTCTCGATCGAGGCAAGCAGTGTAATCTCCACGGCCGGCAGCACGAACGGGGCGTGGACGAGCAGATCGGCAGGCGCTGCACAGGCAGAATGAAGCTGGAGCGAGCCGGCTGATGGAGCAGCAGTCAAGTCTGGATTGAATCCGGTAGACAGCGGCTGGATCGATCGAGGCAAGCAGTGTGGCTGGAGATGGGACACAACCACACAGGCAGAGCGAAGAAAAGCAAAACCACGGCCGGCAGGGAAGAGAGAAATGGCGGCGGCTGGACTAGAGATTGGATCAGATGGCGCACGAGTTGCACATCCGAAAAAAACCTTACAGCTCTAATACCATGTTAGGAAAATGGAACATATATTACTAGAAGGCCAAAGCCACAATATATACATGTACAAGAGAATGCCAAAAAGCTAGAATGTAAAAGGCCAAAGGCCATCATCAATATAACTCTAACAAATTCGAGTGTGGATTTGGGGGTTCCTGCTAACATTTGCGAAGAATCTATGACTCTGATACCAAATGTTAGAATCCAGCTATTAATAGGTCCAGTTACAACTGAGCTAGAGATAGAGTGAAAGCTCGTCAACAAAGAATTAACAAGATGAGTGGAGATGAGTACAAGCACACGCAGACAAGCCTCGGCTATAGTCGTCGTTCCGTTCTAATTCCTCGTATTCATAGTTTTTCTTTGAGACAATTCTATTAGTTTTTTTTTCTTTTTGAGGGGAGGCAATCCTATTAGCCAGATCCTATTCGGCGCCTTTAGCGTCCGATATAGGTCTTTTCATAAACGGGCGCACCCCCCCCTCCCTTCACTCGCGACAAACGGGCCGGCCCATCTCTCCTTTGTCGTTCCGTTTTAATTCCTTCTATTCGTAGTT